TGATTGAACATACACTGATTTAAGCTTCGGAGGCTCTTCACCGGAAAACCCCTCCGGTGTGGGAGTTCTTTGTAGGTGCACGACGTTCAACCGGTGAGAAGGAAGGTGATTACTCAAGTTCTAGCCGGTCGAAAAGTTTTGTGTTACCAGGGTTCTTGAGGCAAATGGAATTGGGGAAAAAAGGGAATTCGAAAATGAAGACAAAAGGGAGACTTTGACCTTGGAAATGAAGGAGCACGGACACGTGGCAACCTCAACAGAAATACATGTGGGCGCGTGATGCATTTGCCAAATTAGCACTTTTCAATTGTTCATTTTATTAAGTCATATTTTGTTTGTTGGTGAAAAAATACGAAACAAAATATTGTGGGACCATTTGTTTATAAGTGGCTGGAAAATGTATGAGGGAATCATTTAGTTACAACAATTTTATCTTCCACTTTCTCTCTCTTCTCTCATCTCTCTCTCTCTACCCAATTCATCTTCTTCTTCCATTCTTATTAGAATTTGTTACAGAAAATTTACAAAGAAAATAACAAAAAAATATCGAAACACAACAGCTGACTTCGGCTCCTGTGCTTGTTCTTCCAGATTTTTTGAGCCCGTTTGAGCTTTCTTGTGATGCTTCGAAGGTGGGCATTGGGGTTGTCCTCAGTTAGAAACTTTCAGTGAGAAACTTTCTGGCCCTCGTACTCACTACAACACTTATGATGTTGAGTTTTATGCCATCGTTCGGGCTGTCCGTCATTGGCGGCATTACTTGTTTCATCGGGATTTTATTCTATACACAGACCACGAGGCTTTGAGGCATTTGGCCTCTCAGGATAATATTTCAACTCGGCATGCCTCTTGGACAGTATTTCTTCAGCAGTTTACGTTTGTTCGTCGACATTGTTCGGGAGTTTCGAACCAGGTGGCGGATGCGTTGAGCCACCGAGCACTGTTATTGACCGATATGCGGTTTTCTGTTGTTGGCTTTGATGTCTTGCGCGAGATGTATGTTGATGATTGGTTCTTTGGGCTAATTGTGCAACGTCTGGCGGCGGGCCCAGTTGACGACTACTCTTTGTCGGACGGCTTTCTATTTCGAGGGGTTGTATAGGCCTCTTCCCATTCCTTCGCAGCCTTGGAGTGCCATTAGTATGGACTTCGTGCTCAGTGTGCCACGTACTCAGCGTGGTTTCGACTCTATTTTGTCGTTGTCGACAGGTTTTCAAAGATGGTGCACTTTATCCCCTGCAAGTGCACGACAGATGCGGTTCATGTGGCTCAGTTGTTCTTTCGGGAGGTGTACCGTCTCCATGGCCTTCCGTTCTCGATCGTCTCGGATCGTGACAAGTGATTTCTCATCCACTTCTGGCGTAGCTTATGGAGCATGGCGAACACTCTCTTGGATTTCAGCAGTGCGTACCATCCACAGACGGACGATTAGACGGAGGTCGTGAATCGGTCGTTGGGCAACCTTCTGCGTTCTCTCTATATCCTTGGCTTATTCAATAGAGTTTCCTTCTTTTCATTATTCGATACTGGTCTGTGTCTGATACCACACCTGCCAAGACCTTTTCTCGCTCCTCTCGCTTTGCTCTACGCCTGCCTTGATTGACGGGTGGAAGTCTCATCGAGACTATAGTAGTTGTTGCTAGCGGCTGAGAGCCAAGACCAATCCAACCCGGCATGAGGAATCCTATGACGAATGCAGTAAGGGGTTTACCTTTCCTAATCTAACCTAGCGGACTTTCTTATTTTTAGGTTCCCACCACGCCACAAAATAGAAGAAAGTAAAGTAACTTAGTGCAACATGGCAAATTTCATTGGGAGGAATCAACAAAGGAAAGAAAAACGGGTCAACCCACCATTCCCGTCCAACGTCGGGTAGAACTGCGCTACTGCCCTGCTGAGTTGCTTGGTAGGTGATAATATTCAGAGTTGGGACCAGTGGTTGAGCCAGGCGGAGTTTGCTCATAATTCGGCTGTCAGTCAGGCGACGGGATTTTCTCCGTTCGAGGTTGTTTATGCAGTTCGCCCACGGGGACCGTCCGACTTGGTGAGTTTGTTGCCCGGCGTTGCGACAGATCGGCGGGCCGCGGACCTCCTTGCTGATCTGAAGGCGACCCACGCGGTGGCCCGGGCGCGGCGTACAAGCGCACGGCGGATGTGATGCATCGCCATGTGGAGTTCTCGGTTGGTGATTACGTTTGGGCCGTCTTGACGAAGAATCGGTTTACAGCCCCCGAGTATAACAAACTGTCAGCCCGGAAGATCGGCCCGGTCGAGGTACTTGATAATATTAATCCTAATGCTTATCGTCTACGCCTTCCTTCTCATATTCGTACGTCTGACGTTTTTAACGTCAAGCACTTGGTGCCATTTGTGGGCGACAACTCGGAAGAAGACGAGACCGGTTCGGATTCGAGGCCGAATCCTGCTCAACCGGAGGAGGATGATGAAAACGAGACCGCTATTGTATATTTGAATAAATATGACAGTCTTCGGGTTTAGTGAGTTTTTATTTGTCTCATTATTATACGTACTCTTTTATTTTATTTCTTTTATTAAGTAGTATTTTGGGGTAGGAAAATAATTATCTTGCAGTTGTGGGGCAAGATTAAGAATTTTTATTTCTCCTTGTTATTTATATGTTATTGGAATGATGGAAAAGTCTGTTTTTGACGATTGAAATAAAATTTTGTTCACTTTTACGAGAGATTTAGTATCTCATCTTCTTCCCTAATTGTACTACGTTCTACATCATCTAACTAACTTACAATTTTAAAATTATGTGCATATAAATAAGTTAAAAAAAATTTATTTGTACTTGTGCAAATGCACAGGGTCTAACACTAGTGATAGTATCGATACATATACATGTGGATAACCATTCTTTGCTGATCGGACATCACAATTTCCTCTGCAGTTTTTGTAATGCATTAAAATTGAAGTTGAATACGTAACAGAAATGATTGTTATACATGTAAACATCTTTAGGTATTATATTCAGGTAAGTTTAGCAGGCAGACAAACTTCAACCAAAGGATACCCGCATATACAAATGCGTGATAAAAGCGTGATGATGACAAGAGTTGGTCAATTACCAGTTATGGCAATGACAACAGGCAACACCACCTGCCGCTCCCCGTCCGACCAGACTATCTTCCCCTCCACACTAATATCTCCTGGCCATTTTGTTGTGTTTACAATAACAGCCACATAGTAATTTTTCTTTTCACCCTTGCTTGTAAAATCCATTTTCTTCGGAGTTACAATCAGAATCACCCCTTTTGGATTGGTCACGTTCACCGTGTAAGTAGAAACATCTTCACCAACATTTGTCACGGTCCTGGTAACCGTGATGAAATCACGATTTAAATCTAATGACTGCGAATCAATAGAGATGGCTGGATAATTCAGATCCCACGGCATCGTGTTCGTGTCATTGCAATTCTCACTCCCGTATTTGTCACTGGTTATCTTTTTGATGACCACATCGGTATAATTTGAGGCGCACATGAAATTCACATAATCTTGTGGAGAGATATCGTAGACTAATCCTGGATCAAGGGCGTTACCCGGATGAATGTGACCCGCGCCCATGTCCAAGGTTGTAGAATTGGTCACATCATCATTATTGATTATGGGGTTGCCATCATTGGCTGTGGTATAAGCCGTGGTCATGATGGCTGAGCGGATCATGGCTGGGGACCAGTCGGGGTGGGCTCCCTTCAAGAGAGCAGTCAGGCCGGACACGTGAGCGCAGGCCATGGATGTGCCGGAGAGCAGTTTGAACTCGACGCCCTCTGGCCATGCCGCGAGGATGTTGACACCTGGCGCTAGCACATCCGGCTTCATAACATATGGTGAAATGTTATTAGGGCCTCTGGAGGAGAAAAAAGCTACCGCTGGAGCTGGCAGCTGGTCAGTCCCGAATTCCACACCTTGGAATATCATTGTGGCATTTATCATCGTGCCATTTATCATCGAGGCATTTATCATTTGACGGAGCAAGTTCCCGTCGGACTCGTATATGACGAGGCCAGGGATGGTAAAGTGTTTGGCAATGAGGTCTCGTCCGGCCGGGTAAATGTTAGCTGCCACCACGCCAGCACCTCCGACTTTTCTTACAAGCTCATCAATCAATACCGGCTCGTCGACATCGGTGTGATTTACCATCCAGTTGCAGACCACAATCTTTCCGGAAAAGCTTTGGTCCAGCGACATACAATCCCCTCCGTATGCTAGGGGCAGAGAAGCGGGATCCAAGGGGGGCCCACTGTAAAGCGAAGCCCCTTGGAACTTCTCGAAGCCGTTGTTGGCAACAAGATCAGCCGCAAACCTTCGGTCCATTGTGCCGGCGCCGACGGTCGTCACCCATGGGGCAACATTCAGCACTGTGCGTTCAAAAGGGCCGCTGTTCCCGGCGGATGCAATGACTGAAATGCCCCGATCCATGGCAGCAAACGCCCCAATCACGATGGGGTTCTGTTGATATTCACTATCAGGGAATTCGAAGGGGACGGTGATTATGTCAACCCCATCCTTCACCGCCTTTTCGAAACCGAGGATAACGTCGGACATAGAGCAGCCACCAACATCGCATACTTTGTAGGATGCGATTCGTGCCTTGGGCGCGACTCCGACGGCCGTGCCGCTTGCATTTTCAGAATAAAACACGTTCGTGACGGCCCTTCCTGCAGCCGTGGACGCCACGTGCGTGCCGTGACCGACGTCCGTTCCAGTGGTAATGATCCTAAAGCCAACAAGTTTGTTGGTGCAATTAATCGGTTTCTCGCACTCCCCTTTCCATCTGCCCGCTGGGAGGGGGTCGATGCCCGAGTCGTTGAAGCTAGCGTGGTTGGGATTGATACCGCTGTCGAGGAATCCGATGGTGACGTTCTTGCCGTAATGGGATTCATTCAACAAAGGCCGAGCCACGATGTAGTTAGTATCATCGTATAAGCCTAGGAAATGAGGCGACCAGGTGGTGTGTAACTTGAGAAGTCGGTCGGGGAAAACGAAAACGACCCCCGGCCGCTCCTCAAGTTGTTGGGCTTGCTGCGTGGTCAGTTTAGCGGAGAAGCCATGGAAAACTGTGTCGTACACATGAACTAGTTTCGATTTTTGGGATTTTGAAGGAATCGAGCCGCCTTCCAGGCTTTGTAGGGTGGCCTCGTACCAGTGTTGCAACTCTGCAAACACTGTTGGCTTCATTCTGTTTTGGACTCCGACAATATATGTCTTAACATCTTTGTTATAATTATCAGGATGAACAACTAATGCGAGTGAGAGCGAAAGAAAGAGAACAACAAGGCCAAGGATATGATCCATTTTTTTTTTTTTTTT